TGGTACATTTCAAAACTATTAAGAAATGAGTATAATTGTGATGGATGTGTTACTTGGTTCAATGTAAACATTTCACATTCTATATCAAAGCAGTACCCTGAACCCCATAAATACATCAATGTACAAAGTTATGATTTAGTAAAAAATAATTAATTATAAAAAAATAAAATAAAATATAGCAATATGTTAAAGGTATGATACATCATGAACAAGTTTTTTATGTTAAAGTTTATTTTGCAAGAACATACATTAAGTTCAACGTTTAAAACTCAGGCAATTAATTTCACCATATAAACCAAGCGTCCTCAAACTACGGCCTGAGGGCTACATGCAGCCCGCCTAGGACATTTATCCAGCCCGCCGGGGGTTTTGCCGCCGCTGCCTGTCCTGCTTAGCAGCCAACTGGTCCCAGGGCCTGCAGTCTGGCCCTCCAACGGTCTGAGGGACAGTGAACTGGCACCCTATTTAAAAAGTGTGAGGACCCCTGAAACAGACTGAAAAGAAAAACTATATGATCATGTTAGTGGATACGGAAAAATCTTTTGACAAAAGTAATACCCATTTACAATTTTACAAAGAAAGAAAAACTCTTATACAAATAGAATACAAGGGAACTTCTTCTACCTAGCAAAGAACATCTACTAAAATCTTTCCATTAACACCTTATTTAATGATGAAAGATTGATTGCTTTTCCCCTAAGATTGGGAATAAGTCAAGGATATACACTTTCCTTACATTTTTTTCAACATTTTACTAGAGGTCATAGCCCATGCAACAAAACTAGAAAATGAAATAAAAAGCATACACATTGAAAAGAAAGAAATGAAACTGTCTTTTTTCATAGATAACATGACTGTGTTTGTAAAAAAGCCTAAGGAATCTATTTAAAAGAAAAAACTATTAGAACTAATAAGTGAATGTAGTAAAGTCACAGGATACAAGGTCAATACACAAAATCAATTATATTTCTAGGCACTCACATCAAACAATTGGACACCAAAAAACATTTCCATAGCATTAATAATATGTTGACAGTATCATCAAATAACAGTAAAGCCTTGGGAATAAATTTAACAAAACAAGTACAAGATCTGTGTACTGAAAACTATGTAACGTTACTACAGGATAGAAATTAAAGGAGAACAAAATAAAGGGAGATATATGCCATGTTCATGAATCAGAAGACTTGATATTGATAGAATATCAATTCTCTCAAATAGATCTAGGGATCAAAGCAATTCCAATCAAAATCCTGGCAAGCTCTATAGCAGAAATTAAAGGCCAGGCATGGTGGCTCACACCTATAATCCTAGCATTTGGGAGCCAGAGGTGGGTGGATCACCTGAGCTTAGGAGTTCTAGACCAGCCTGAGCCTGAGCAGCAAGTCCCCGTCTCTACTAAAAATAAAAACCTAGCCAGGGGCTCAGCACCTGTAGCACAGTGGTTATGGTGCCAGCCTCATACACCAAGGGTGGTGGGTTTGAACCCAGCCCGGGCCAGCTAAACAACTGCAACAGAAAAATAGCTGGGCTTTGTGGTGGGCGCCTGTTGTCTTAGCTACTTGGGAGGCTGAGGCAAGAAATTCACTTGCCTCAGAAATTCACTCAAGAAAGTCAAGAGTTTAAGGTTGCTGTGAGCTATGACGCCACAGCACTCTACCAAGGGTGACATAGTGAGACTCTGCCTAAAAAAAAAAAAAAAACACAAACAAACAAACAAAAAACTAGCTAGGTATTGAGACTAGCGCCTGTACTCCCAGCTACTCAAGATGCTGAGGCAAGGGATCGCTTGAGCCCAGACTTTGAGGTTGCTGTGAGCTATGATGTGCCAGAGCAGTCTACCCAGGGTGACAGAGTGAGACTCTGTCTCAAAAAAAAAAAAACTGGCTTTAAAAGTTACATGGACATTCAAAGAACCTACAATTTCCCAAAACAATTCCGAAAAATTAGAGCAAAGATGGACTTACACAACCTAATTTTAAGATAGCAAATCTTAAAATTAGATAGTAATCGTAAATCTTAAAATTAGGTAGTGATTATAATAATCAACACCATGACATCTGTGAAAGGACAGACATACAAATTGATTGAACAAAATAGAATCAAATATAAACTCACATAGTTAACTGGTTTTGACAAAGGTGCCAAGGTAATTTCCTACAGAAAGGATAGTATTTTCAATAAACAGTGTTGAAGCAATTGATGTAGAAAAATACAAACCTAGACACATGAAATAATGTAGATCATAGAACTAAATGCAAGAACTAAAATTAAAAGACTTCATAAAGAAAACATAGGAGAAAACATGTTACCTCAGATTAGGCAAATCTGCATATATAGAACACAGCACAAAAGCATAAAAACATAAAATTGATAAAATGAAATTCATCAATATTGAAAAGGGTTGCGCTTTGATTTCGTTAAAAAAGGAGAAAATATTTGTAACATATACACATATATGTGATAATGGACTTGTATCCAGAATTTACAATTGTATATCACTGCTCATTAATAACATAATTAATTTAACAAAAGGAAAGTAGCCAAAGATTTGAAAAGATTCTTCCAGAAGAAGATATACAAATGGCCAATAAGTATAGTCACAGAGTCACAACATCATTAGTCACTAGGGAAATGAGTGCAAATAAAAGCTATAATGAGATACCACTGCATGCCCATCAGAATGGCTAAAATTAAAAGGCCTGATAAATATCAACTGTGGGAGAGGATGTGAAGCAATTGAAACTATCATGAACTGTTACATGATCTGGCAATCCTAGACATTTATCCAAAAGGAAAAAAATTTTTAATGTCTATGTAAAGACTCACACACAAATGTCTGTAGCACCTTTCTTTGTAATATCAAACCAGGTATCTTAAATTTTCATCAATTGGAGAATGGATAGACAAAGGGTGGTATATTCATACAATGAAATATCACCATTCTGTAGAAAGGAATGGACTGCCAAAAATACACAACACCACAGATAAATTTCAAAAGTATTATGCTAAGTGAAAGAAGACAGGCACAGGAACACTACAATTTTTAAAAAGCAAAACTATTGTGACATTAAGCAGATCAACAGTTAGCAGGAAAAGGAGTAGGGGCATTTGACTGAAAGGGAGCGGGAGGGAACTTTTTGAGCTTATGTAAATGCTCTCTATCTTGATTGTGATGGTGATTACATGACTGTACAACCTTGCTAAACTGACCAAATATACTGCAAATGATCAACTTTTAATGTTCATTTTAATTATATCTCCATAATGCCGATTTAAAAAAATATACTCGTACATAAAAGAGAACCTGCAATGATAGGAAGTGTTTAAGAAGACTTTATTTAGTAGAGAATAAATCACAAATCCACAAAGAATGACTCTTAGTTTAACAATCCCTACTGTGAAGCTCTGAGAGGGACAATAGCACAATCACAACAGACAATTTATAGGGATTTGCATCCCAAGTTGCATCAGTTAAGTCCCTGTCAGTTGCAACCCCCATAGGCTAGAGATTTTCCACTTGGGCCCACTCATGCAACATTAGCTATTTAGCATCATTTGGCTATTTAGACATCAGCATCTTCAAGATCTCTTTTCCTCCTCCTCCTAAACTTTGCTTTCAGAGAAGGATTGAAAACTCTTTTTCAATCACTAAATGATTGCTAAAACTAAATGTATTGTCCTTCCAAGTGGTATTTTATTTTATCAAGGATAGGGCTGTAAGTGAAAAATCTATTTCAACATTATAAGGCACCATGAGCAAGGGAAGTCATTTACTTTTCGGATTCAAGGAACTCCTTCCCAATCCCCCTGAAATTGTACCATTTAAGTAAATCTCTCTTCCAAAAGTAAGGTCACAGCAAGTTTCTGAGTCCCAGAACTTTGGAGCCTCTTTGAACTTTCCTTCTTTTAATATCTATGTGGAACACATTTTCAGAGGTTGTTTTTGGTCTCTTTCAGAAGCCATCAATGATGATAGAAAAGAGAATGAACCAACCGAACAAAGGTGAGCCCTGACCCTGCAACACTGTTGAAAGATGTTTGATCCCCTCTTTCAAGTTATACTACCTATTACTTGAATAACCTTGAGCCTGAGAAATACAGAAACCTCAGAAAACATGAACTAATGAGGGAGAGAAAGTGACACTTGTTAAGACCTAGAGAGAAATGCCTGTAAATGGATGCCCCCAAAGCATGGTATACTCTGTCATGTAAAACATCAATACCAATGGGTTCTGATGTGATGAGCACGGACTACACCTTATTCACCTTGGCAACCCCAGAACCTAGCACAGTGCCTGGACTAATGGGTGTCCTACATTGTGGAATGAATAAGAGAGGAGCGATAATATGTTCCCTTCAGCCTCATGTCTTTGCACCTGCTGTGCCCTATGTTTAGAATGTGCTTCTGCCACTTCTCCATCTCTTCTTCAGATCTCACCTCAAGTACCACTTTTTTTTTTTTTTTTTTTGGTTAACATAGTTTCTTTAAAACCCTTCCCAAAACTAGATAATGTCTGCCTGTCACAGTGTCATGTGGACCCATTGAATTTTCTTCATAACACCAGATTATACTTATATATTTGTTTAATTATCTTGCAAAATACTATAAATTAGATGAAACTAAGCTCTGTGGAGAGAAGAGACGTGTATCAGTTAAGTTCATCTCTGTGCTGCAGCACCTAGCACAATGCCTGGAATATAGTAGGTCCTCAATAAATGTTTATTGAAAGAATGAATGGAGCTTAAAGGTTCAGGGTGATCAGTGCTTTCACAACATGATAAGACTAGATCATCTGTATCTTCTTTCCTTCTGAGGAATGAGCTCTCAAGAATAGCAAGGCTCTGACCACATGGTCATAGGTCAAAGTAACTCTCATTCACAAGCCTGGTTGCTGAGACATGGTCATGACCCCAGGTTGCAGCAACCACCAGAGTGCCCGACACTTGTGTGGATAAACAAGCCACTGTGAGGCTAGCAAGAGTTTATTCTAGACAGCCTGGGTAGTAAGATCCTGCCTGCCCTAGAAGATTCTATTCCAGAAATGTTCTTGAAGAGCCTGGAAAGGGCAGAGAGTTAGCAATAGCGTGGGGGCAGGGTAAAAGGTAGCTGTTGAATCATGACGGCAGTGTAGACCAGGGAGGGCCGTTTTCTCCTACCTTCTCTACCTCTCTCTTCAATTGTTTATTTCTCCTCGTCGCTGTTGCAATGGCCTCCTCTATTCTGTCTTATCATTGAAATCTATAAAAAGAAAATGGCTCCACTATAAAACCTTACCCACTCCTTTTTTCTATGTTTCCCAGAGAGGAAGTCCATGCCCCTGAAAGATTTGATGAAGAAGTCCAGGACGATGCTAACAGTTCAAAGATGCCCTCAGACGACAAAAGTGCTACAAGTTTTTGATTAAAAAGTGAAATCCATAGAACTATCCATTTTTTCAGCTCTCTCTTTTGCAAGTTTTTGGGCAACTTTTTTTATTTCCACCAGAAAGCAAGAAACCATCACTCTTAATAATGGGGGCTATTAAAGTTTGCCAGACTTTTAATTCTCTCACTGCTTGAGAAGCCCATCTGGTGGTTCCTAGCCCAAGAATCATGTTTAGGACAAATGCCTCCTGTTTTAGTTCATAGTCCTTTCTTAACTTCATGTAGAACTCCCTGTCTGTCCAGAATTTAAAGGTGGTGCCTCACTTCATATTGTGCCCCTGTGACTGAACAACTCCCCCTTCAGTCTGGGTGATAGTGCTATATTTTAAAATATAAAGCCTTGTATGGTATAGTAATGTAATTACTAGGCTCTAAAGAAAAGTCTTCTCCTGTTAGGGAGTGTTTGTCCCTCTGCCAGGGTCAGTAAAGAAAACAGTGGCCTCGGACACAGACAACCATGTAAATTTGGGGGAAAAGGAGAGCTAGAGATGGAATTAGCTTGGGATCCTGGAGCCACTTCTGTCTGGTCTGTTGTTAATATTAAGGAGGCTCCACCTGCCTAATAAGCCCTGGCAGAAAGCACCAAATAAACAGCAAAGTGCTGGATCCTGTGAGCCTTTGTGTCTTCTTCTGGGAAAACTGGGTGATGGCCTGTGAAAGAACCAGTACTCAAAAGAGAAAAAAATGGGAGATCCTGATCCACAGTCTGTCTCATCTTTCCGCAAATCTTGGAACAAGCAAGAGATGGAGAGTCTGCCTAACTGGACTTATGACACACAGCAATTTCCTTGGTGGTTGGGAGGGGTTATTGTTATGTCCTCTGGCTGGAAGCTGAGCTGGGGAGGGATGGCCGTCTTCTTGATACTGGGATGGAGGGAAGGATGTTGAGGACCCTCAGCCCTTGGCAGAGTGAGGAAGAGCTGGAGTGGAACGAGGAAGACCTGGATGGTTACTGAGCCTGAAGATGTCCTAAGGGAATATGGGCTGGCCCAAGACCTAGCAAACTTGCATTTGAGGACTATTTATGTTTAAAGCAACCACAGGACAAGTGGGTACAGGAGAGGAATACGAGTTAGGAAGCCTGGCTCTAAGGCAAGATCAGTGAAGGATGGAGCCACCTCAGTACAAACCTAAAGAAAGCTTTGGAGGTCCAAGCCCCAAAAACAGTTCTTTTTATTTTCCGTGAAGGATCCCAGATGGTTGTAAATAGCTATGCTAGTCATCTTGTCCTTGTAATATTCCCATGTGTGTCCTGCCCCTGCCTTCATTAGCTCTTAGCACCTGGTTCATTTCTCCCATGTTATGTACAAAGTTTTCCAAATATATACACATTAGACTTTTAGTTTATTAAATTTATTGTAGGTTTTTAGTCTACATTTTCTGCTTCCACTTCAATAAGACTACTCTACCCTGGTCATCTGATGCTCCCCACCCTGTCCTCTAAATGTACTTCCTTTCTCTTGATATCTCTACAGCTAGAAGCCTCTGTCTAAGCCCAAATCCTCTCCTCCCTTGTCCCCAACCAGTGTATGAGAAAGGTGGCTTCCATATGTTTATGTCAGTGATTAGACATAAAAATAGCAAGTAAGAACGGTTGTGTCTGAGAACAACTAGGAAATTCAGAATAAGAAAGGGATATTTACTTTTGAACTTGTAACATCTTGTACTGTGTAACTGTTAAATTATGTGCTTATATATACATTATAAATACAAATGCTTAATGTTAAAATATTTCTTGAAGATACTCTGATTGCAAAACAAATGGATACACACCTATATACACACAGCATATAGGAAGAGCCAGAAACATTCTGGGAAAAAGAAAACTAGACCCTGGGAGGGCAGGGATGCATCTAACTTCTTCAGCAGTGGATCCCAGGGATCTAAGGTAGTTGTTCATCTTTTTGTCTTTTGTTCCATTTTATAAAGATTTCCAAGTGTTCTGCTGTATTTTTAAGTTTCTGCTATTATGTTTTATTTCCAGAGCTCTCTCTTATTCTCTCAAAACATACTTGTTTAAAGACTGAATAAAATATTAACATTCCCTCTGGTGGCAACACCCCTCCTTTGTCTATTAAATTCTCTGATGTGCTGGGTTCCAAGTCTGGAGGAAAAAAAAGCAGAACAAGAAGGTTGAAAGAGGTCATTAGGTATCATAATAGTAGTAGCTAATTTTATTGCATGTTTCCCATATACCAGACACTCATCTAAACCTCCAACTCATTATCCTAGTTAATTCTCAGCATGCCCCTGTGATATAGGTAATGTGATATTATGTCCATTTCAGTGATGATGAAATATAAGCACAGAGATGTGTAAAAGTAGCTTACCCAATATTGTTAACTTTGTAAGTGGCAGTACCGGAAAGAACTTTGCAAATCATCACTCAGAAAGACAGCATTTGGGTTGGCTGCAGACTGAGTACCTGCCCCACATCTTGTGCTATATTCCCTCAGCCCTTTGAGGTGGTGATTCCAGCAGACCCATCCCTGACCTTTCCATAACCCACTCCATTATCTTACCAGGCTCAACACTGTGGATTATATAACCCAGAAGACCAGTGAAAATGAGATTTGAGTTAAAGGGAAAGTGAACTGTATAATGCTGCCTCTGATTCCTTCCTGTCCATCCTGGACATTTATTATTCTTTGGCAATCCACTCTGCTTCCTCTGCCATTCCGAAGCCAGTTTCATTCATTCAGTTTCCTCACATTTGTTAACCCAGGCTTGATGTTTGGGTTAGTCTCTGACGACTGCCTCTGACTTTTCCCTCAGACCCCACTGCCTAGCCCTGACCTCCTACCATGTTCAATCATCAGTCCAAGGCAAGCATTCCTCCCACTTACTTCTGTTCTCATTCAGGCCGCCCTTCCTGACTCATTCCTAGAATGTGACCATCACCACCCAACTGATCCTGTCTCCTGTTTCTCTTACCCTGCAGCCTACATTCTGTCTAAAACACCAGGAGGACGAAGGAGGTAATAGTGAAAAGAAGGCCTCCCTCACATTCCTTTTCCCTCACCACCAACTCTGATCTCCAGCTTTCCACGTACCCTTCATGGACACATTGTTATGCCCATCTATAAGTGTGTGTGTAGTCTCTCTGTTAATGCAGCTTTGGTTTTATTCTACCCCACAGTCTAAGAAAACTAAAAGACTCTTGTTAGACTGATTAAGAGAAAACTGCACTTCAGTGTAACCCTTCAGATTGAGTAAGAGTGAGACCCCTTCTCCACTAAAAATAGAAAAACTAGCTGGGCATTGTGATGTACACCTGTAGTCCCAGCTACTCAGGAGGCTAAGGCAGGAGGAGCTTGAGCCCAGTAGTCTGAGGTTGCCATAAGCCATGATGACTCCATGTCACTCTACCCAGGACAACAGAGTGAGACTCTGCCTCAAAAAACAAACACAAAACAAAAACAAAAACACCCCCCCCCCCAAATGCATATCTTTGTTGTATTCATTTTCAGTTTTACCCGTATGCTGGCATCACTGTGGATCTTATAGTGAGCTTCCATTGGTTTTGCAGTTTTTGGCCCGGGCTGGGTTTGAACCCGCCACCTCTGGCATATGGGGCTGGTGCCCTACTCCTTTGAGCCATAGACACCGCCCTAGACACAATTTTTTAAAAACTGTTGCAATCTGGACAAGTTACACCCTAGGTCTGATGAACAAGTCACCCTAAATGGGATCTACTATTTCCTGTGCTCCATATATTTGTCCTTCTTGACTGACTTCCTTATTTTGGTGATACATATCCTCCAGTAGCTGCCTCAAGTAGTTTTCTGGGAAAAGATAAGTGGTGAATAAATTTATCAATATTTTGTGTATCTGAAAATACCTTTATCCTGCTTTCCTACTTAATTAATAATTTGGCTTAGTATGGAATTCAGGGTTGGAAATATCTCCATTATCTATAGATTCCAGTTGAGAAGCCTAAAAATATTCTGAATC